AGAATACACAGAAAACTGGCCAAACCCCAACAATTTGTCAAGTTGTTCTAAACACTTGAAAGTGCTTTGCCACTGGATTGAAGATTCAAGACTGAAGATTGCACAGAAAACTTTCCTGAGTATCGTCAATCCTAATCAACCCCAAAAAACTGTCGAGTTGTTCTAAAACCTCGAAAGTATTTACCACTAGTCTTCGCACTTTGATTCCAGCCATTGCGGGAACTTGGATGGTTGCAAACGAAATGAATATGACTGCAAACGGGTGCGCATTCTTGGTTGCGCAAGTATGTTTTGGAAGCCTAGAGTATTGGGACAACACTAGAATTGTTTAAACACTTTTTACAATTATGGGGTTCAAAATGCAATACTAAAGATTTCAAACCCATGATTAAAGCGATTTGAAGCGCTTTGAAGCGCTTTAAACCGTTTTGGGGGCCCCATACTGGATTCAAGATTCAAGATCTGCAGTCCTGCGAATCTTGAATCTTGAGTCTTAGATCCAAAAGTGCTTTAAAGCGCTTTGAAGCGTTTTGGTGGGGTCCCATACTGGATTCAACATTCAAGATCTAGAGTCCTGGGAATCTTGAATCTTGAATCTTGAATCTGAGATCCAAAAGCGCGTCAAAGCGTCTGCTTTCAGACATTCTTGTTTGGGTGTGCACCTTATTAGTATTTTTGACTTGTACGCGGTAAATGCAGTTGATAGTTCAGCATATGGACATTGGATATGTTTCTAATGGCTCAAAACTCCACACCCACCCGTAGATATTCAAAAACATTGTAAATACCGGTATGCTGCATGCTGTTTAGCAGGTTTTATGCAGAACATATTTTTCAGGGGCATTAGTTATTTTAGCAGACAGCGTGGCATTGGGCAGGGCACATAAGGTGCATATGTTTTGGCATTGACCAAGGTTTGTGAGCTGACAGACGATAAGAGATGGAGGATGCGTAGAAGGTCACAGGTTTGTAAGTTGACAACGAAGAGGACGTGCGCATCAGTTGAGATGAGAAATTGAAGATGTGTAGGCGAAGAGCGAGGATAATATTAGCGATGAAGACTATGCCGAAACACAATTAATCTGGACACATTGACAGAACATCACGATTTCTATTTGACAGCAAATATGTTCTTTCTTGGCTGACATGTTTGGACACTTCAGAGATGTAGATGTATGTATGACATGTTGTGGTCTAGACCCTGTGTATGTGACACGTTACCTAACTTCGCTTTTACACTGTACCAAACTTTGCTTATGATGTGATTGTCCACTTAACTTGTGTTGAAATAGATTGAGTTTATGACCAGGGTATGTATGAAATGAACAAGAGGAGGAATACCACACAACAATTTGTCAGAAAGTAGAAGTGCAAACAGTGGCAAAGTCTGAATGACTCATCTGCAAAGGTCTGCCAAAATTGTGAAATGAGCCCACTTTTTGTATTATCTGTCTAAAATGACTTGACCCCCTTACATAAGCAGCAGGCACGGATTTTGGAGGGAGGGTGCATATATATATATATATATACATTTGTACATATACATACATATATCTATGTATGTATGTAGATATTCTGAAGCTGTGCAGAGCTGAATAAACGTGATATAAGCTGAGACAGGTGCACTCGTTCTTCTTGGAGCACTTGCTCTTGAAGGATGCGATGGACATGGGATAGCAGGTGGCACATGTGTCCTTGTTGCTCTCGCCGCTGAAGCAGCAAAGTCCACCCTCCTCCGTCTCCCTCTCATTCTGCAGCTTGGTCTCATTCACCTTGGGCATGGGCTCCTCCCCTTCATCATCCTCACCGGTGTCATCCATCTCCTCATCCGGCTCCACCAGCGCGGCGGACTCAGACTCGACGTCCGGGCCGGTCTCCGCCTCCGCGGCGGCGGCCGCCGCCGTCTCGGGCTCCGAGGGCTCCGAGGGCTCGGACGCCTCTTCCGTCGGGTCCGGGTCCACCCGGTGGCGCTGGATGCCGATGGTCGATTCCCCGCGGAGCTGTCGCAGAGACAAACCGCAGTCGGAGTCCTCCCCGCAAACGTCGTCTGCCTCTAAGGCGGCCGAGTCCTTATGTCCAAACACGGACGTTTCTCTTTTTCTGGGAACCCCCAAAATAAAAGAGTGTTGTCCCTTGAAAACCACAAAAAAAGGTACCCTCAAAAAAGGACAGACCCAGATGCAAAACTCTGCAATGTGCACCCAAAGCCAAACCTTGCGAAATGAAAGTGCATGCGTGACTCTGGAGTGGTTGCTGCCAAAACAGAGCCGAATGCGGCCAGGGTCAGGAGACGTGGCAGCATGGCAACACGAAAAGCGCTGTTTGCCGAGGCACTAGTAAAAAGCTATGAGAGCTGCGACACACATGCATGGAGCAAGGCTCTGGCCGTCTACAGGCTTGTTTCCGGCCATGACTGCGAAATCAATTCATGTCTTCATTCCGCAACCCCAGAACACACTTCATTGTATGACTAGTCATGAGTTCACCGATCTGACATCTCCTCGCACTCCAGCCGGCTGCCGCAGGGCTTGTGGCAAGAGAAGTTGACATGGCCACACAGCCTTTGCTCCTAAAGGGGGAAATTCCGAAAAAGAAAAAAGAAAAACGAGCACCAGCCACAAAAATGGCCGGGTTCCTGCCTGATTCTTTCCGCAGAAGCAACTCTCCAACGAAGTCTCCGCACAAGGTGGACACGGCCCTGTGTGACACCTCGCTTTCGCCGCGCAGGTAAAGCTCTCAATGATCATGACGCCGCCCAAACCATAGCAGCTCAAGCAAAAGTGATGCCTTGCTTTGCAGAAATGGTGACCTTGGTGCACAGTCTCAAAGTCAGCCATGTTGAGCGAGCTTCAGGTGAGAGTCGTTGCCACTATGATTTCGCGCTGAGCAGTGAGCCGCAACTCAAAGCACGGCCACACGTGCTGCCACAGGACCATTGCCGTGGATCGCCACACCTGCCAAGTCGCAAAAGATCAAAGTGTCGACCCACAAAAGGCGCAAAAGGCGCCTTGAGGCAAGCATGGCACAAAGACCAACTCGTGCCTGCTGGTCTCTGTTCTCTCCCGGCCACAATGACAGCTGCCAGGTCCGCCCACCTCGAAACTGCCAAGTCTTTGCACTTCGCCCTGGTGGCATTGTCACAGTCCCAGCCCAAACCACTGAAAGGTGGCAAACTGACCCCAATGTGTCATGCAGCTTGGTCTCAAGGAGCTCCACATGCCTGAGGCTCAATCCGCTGTGCAGCGTGGACAAGGTCCAGGATGACACAATTCGGGGCATGGGTGTGGACCTCGCCACGCAAAGCTGCTGCTTGATGAGCATTGCCCACCTGCCGCATCTCGCAAAGTAAGCTCAGAACAGCCACGGTTACGCTCGCAGACCTCACAAGAGGCCGCAAACCCTCGAATGTGTTTTCTGCTTCAGCTTGATGCTCGCACATGTTGGTAGCTCATGGTGCCATGCATCCATCAAACGTGCCTCTCCGCAGCTATGTGCCAACCTTGAAGCGCTTTGCTGCTCAATAGATGTCTGTGTTAAACAAGTGAGAAAGAGGCATGTTTTTCAAGACAGGTCACCAGTGTGGATTCAGTTCTGGCTCTGGAACCTTCTTGCAGTAGCAGGTGTACCTGAGAAAAACATTCTTCGTGCAATCCAGACTCTGAGTGCATTGGACGGGCACTCAGGCATGCGGTCAACCCAGTTGTATCGGCAGCCTAACAGCAAGCAGGCAACACGGTCGTTGCAGAGTTGCTTCTCTTAATTCCCGCACCTGGACATGCCCAGTTGAACTCCAATCCGCCAGCACTGTTGCAACGCCGCACCCAGCTCTTGATGCACTTCAAGTGGAACCTGGGTTCATCAAACAATCCGAATGGAATTGTCTGCCGCACCCGAATGCTCATCGATGCCTCCTCCAAAAAGACTTAGACACATTCAGCAAACCTCCTCCGGATTTGGAGGCTCGAACCGTCTCGCATGGATCCCCTGAACCGACCACCAGAACCAAGGCTCAGGCGCCGCCCAGCACTGTGTACAGGACCAAATGGGGTTGCTAGGCTTCACCTTGGTAACGCACCCCACGCATGTGACAAGTAGATGTCCACCCTGCCTTCCCAAGGCAAATCATGCAGTCATAGGAGCCTGGCTCAAAGTCAAAGCGATGTCCAAGAGATATCCGCAACTTCTGGCAAGGAAGCTCCTCGTGAAAGCTGCTGGGCCAGTCGCTCCGCAACCTTCGGGCAGTTGCAAGAGAGAGAGAGACGCATGGTGGCAACTGGTCACCAGAATCGCCAAATCTGCCGGGGTCCCAGCAGAAGCAGACTCTGGAACTTGCCGACTCTCGACAATGTGCGTATCCTTCACACGAGGTCTCTCACCGCCTCTCACTCATGGGGGCATGGCTGGCCTCTTGCACAGAGGAAACACGCGCATCTTTGGTCTCACCTGTAAAAGATCGACTCAGACTGGTCTCATGTCTAACACCGAGAAAAATGCGGACAACATAAAAACTTTGGAAAACGCCAGTGTACCAATTTGCTGGGTTGCTGCAGGGCACAGCAAGAACAAGGGTGACGTAGACGCAATCAGAAACCAAGGCAGCACCTGCTTTGTGTTTGTTCCTGCTTTTGCCTTTTCCTGCGGGTCAGCGTTCAGGAATTTGTCAAGGACTATGCGCAACATGCAAGTGGGACATAGTGGACAGTGAATGCCCAATGCCATGTTCACATAAGGTCCTTTGCCATTTTTGGCACCTTTGCCCGGCGCCCATCTTCTGTCACCGTCTGGAATTGGATATCGATGCACTCAGCACATGTACACATTTACACATACAAACTGTGTCTGCTGGCTGTGCAAGGAAGAATTAACGGCAACACCATCGTGGCCTTGAGGGCTCTGTTGCGCATCTGCAGTTGTTGCTGACGATGCCCCCTGCATGCATCATTCACAAAAACAGCGCGCTAACCCAGCTGTTTTCTAACTCCTTGCTGCATGTTGCCTCTGGGTCGCGATTTACGGCCCGCCAGTTGGTTGACGATGCGCCCTGCGTCAAAACACAGCACACCGACCCAGTTGCTTGCAATTCCTTGCTGCATGTCGCCTCTGGGTCCCGATTTACGGCCCGCCAGTTGGCTGACGATGCGCCCTGCGTCAGCAAAACAGCACACTGACCCAGTTGCTTGTAGTTCCTTGCCGCATGTTGCCTCTTGGTCACGATTGACGGCCCTCCAGCTGGAGGTGCTGCCTTGAAGAGGCAGCCACACAACATGTCATGAAATGCCACATCGACTAGCAGCCTTTGCCAGAGTTCTTCTGGCTCCTGAATCAAAACCAAGGCACCTGCCTTTGACTCTCAATGCATTCCTGCCTCCGCTTGCCGTTTCCTTTGCCCTGGTTTTTCACGGGCGCTTCAGAATGTTTGCCTCAATGCACCAATCCAAGATCGCAAAGTCACGTTTCCAGGTCACAGCCTGCCGGATCAGCTGGCTCTGACCTTGTCAAGTGCAACTGATATCAACCCCAAAAGGGTTTGGCCATATTGAACAATGACGGGAGGCACTGAATCTGGGCAGCCGACATGCCGGGAAAACTGTGTTGGATGCAGCGCAAAGAAAGAAAAAGAAAATGGAAAAAAAAACAGGGCGAGTGTGCCTTGCTTGCCACGCATGTCAAGCTTTAAGCTGCGCCTCCGGCAATGATTGGCTTGCTAACTCAGTTCATTGCTGCGCATCCTGAGTGGCGAATGTGGGGTATCTGCAGAAAAAGATGTGCCGGCTTGAGCCAGCCAACATGACAAATGATTTTTGCTGAACCATGCTTCAACTGTTTGCAAAGTTGGTTTGCGGCGTCCCCTTCAGTTTGGCAAACTTACGTCCCGCGAGCATTGTTGTTGCCAACTGCACGTTGCTGATTGAAAATGGAATCGTTCCATGTTCCGTTGCTGTCCATAGCGGGATGGATAAATATGACTAACAAAGGAAACTAAAACTGGCACCTTGTTATTCTTATTAACAGGCCTCAGTACACACGCACGGACCGACACAAACCAAAAACAAACGGTTGAGCTTCATGCGTTGTTGGGGGACACGCACGTTTGGCAACCACCCAACAAAGAATCACGCCTAGGTTGAACACTTCAAGAATTATCAGCAAACCCAACCCATTGACCATTGCTTGTTGTGGCACTACTACACAGTGACCTTGACCCCACCGTTAGAATCTTGATCACTGCTTCACTCCGTAAGGGAACATGCAGCAAAAGACAAAAGAGTACGACCGACAAAAGGTACGCTTGCTCTTTTTCTGCATAAGGCGTTGCTTGGAAGTCAAGGCTCGGGGGTGCAGGGAGAAAGACAATGCGTGTCCTTTCCCCGTGTCTGCACCCCCCTGCGGAGCCTTCTCAAATGCCCGCGGTCAACAAAGCGTGTTCGACCGGTGTATTACCTGCGAGTTAGAATCTTGATCATTGCTTCAATCCGAAAGGGAACATGCAGTCCAAGATAAAAGGGTGCGACCGACAAACATGCGCGCACGCTCTTTTTCTTTATAAGGCGTTGCTTGGAAGTTGAGGCTCAGAGGTGCAGGGGGAAAGACATCGCGTGTCCTTTCCCCGTATCTGCACCCCTCTGCGGAGCCTCCTCATATGCTACCGTGGTCAACAATGCGTGTTCGACCAGGCGCCAGGTGTGTTACCTGTGAGGCGTGAAACAATCGAAGGCATTGCGGCAGGATGCAATGCGTGCATCCGGCTGGTGTGCAATGCGGCACACGGTGCCAGGTTGAGCCATGTCGAAACAGTCATATGGCTGCTGGATGCAATGCGTGCATCCGGCTTATGTGCAACGGGTGCCAGGCTGAGGTGCACCGAGCCTTTTGGGCGGCAGCTGCGGCTGGGCCCTGGCAGAAATATTGCATGCCATCGCTGGTGCGACATGCGGCTCACGGTGCTAAGTTGAATTTTGTGACCTCTGCAGACAGGTCATGGTACGCACCGTACCTCTGGACCACCAGCTGCGGCTGGGCCCAGGGAAGTTCACCTGAGTGTTGACAGGTGGGATGGGTGGGCGCAAAAAAGTGAGGGGTAACCCTCACGCAAGTCCCTTAGGTGGCTTGAAGCAGAAAACGGCAACGCGTCCGAAGATTCGATCAAGATTAAAACATAAGGGAAAATAAAACCCTAAACGTTAGAATCTTGATCACTGCTTCAATCCGAAAGGGAACATGCAGTCCAAGATAAAAGGGCGCGACCGACAAACATGTGCGCACGCTCTTTTTCTTTATTGGAACAAGTCCTCGGGCTGCTCATCTGGGCCACCAGCCTAAGCCTGGAATTGAGGTCTTGGCTTGCGCCGTTATATGCAGATCTGCGCTCGCCACCAGGATGCATGATAGCCGTGCACGCACGCCTGTGGCCTGCATTTCTGTCGGCGCTAAACGCCAAAGCTGTACTAGCTTCGCCCGCGCACGGCATTTTGTTTGCCGCTTGGCTCCAGGGTCTTAGAGTATCAGCAAACCTCAATACGCAGCTCCTCCGACTTGCCGCGCATCGTGCCCAGCCGTAAGCCAGCATGGGTGCGCATAGCCGACCCAGCTGCCGAGCACACGCGCTTGTCCGCGGCAAGCAAAGCTAACATTGAGTGGCTCCTTCAATGTTTTCAGGCCGATTTGGCACGCCCGCTGCGCAGCAAGCCAATCTTGGCACGCAAGGCAGCCGCAGATGCTTGTGCCGAGGGCACCACAGTCGGCATAGGTGGCTGGTTTATCTCCAGCCGCTCCGTCTCCTGGTTTGCAGAAACGTGGGACTTCCAAGAAGTCCAGCAGCAGTGGCCGTGCCTCCTTTGTGAGGCTCAGCGCTACATAGCGTGCTTCGAAACCCTGGCCCAACTGGCGCTAATGCGCATCTCTTGGACAGCCAAGGGACAAGCAGCGCGCGGCTTACGCATGCCTTCCGGCACGGATAATACCGCATCAGAAGCCGGGGTGAACAAACTGTTCACTGCAGCATGGCCCTTGCAGATCTTTGTGCAATTTGTCGCCATGGGCCTACAAGCACAAACGGTCAGTGCTAGCCTCGCATATCCCAGGCGAGCGCAACGTGTGGGCCAATCAGCTCAGCCGCGGCAACACATCCGCATTCGACAGCAAGCCGCAAGCTCGCTTTCGTTTTCGCCCGCATGATTTCTGGCCCCACCAACGCAGGCTATCACTGCATCCGCCCGACGCCCCGTGGCGGCCGGAGCATAAGAGTGCTTCGCAAACGCTCTGAAGAGGGGGTGATAGATTAAGCCGTTTGCTTGGAACCCTGAAGTGGGGGCATATGAGGAGGCTCCGCAGAGGGGTGCAGATACGGGGAAAGGACACGCGATGTCTTTCCCCCTGCACCTCTGAGCCTCAACTTCCAAGCAACGCCTTGGAGCGGAGCAGTGCGAACAGCTGCTCTTTCAGCTTCAGGGTTTTGAGTGGAGTGAGTTCAATCGTTTCCAGGCTGAAGGTGATTGACCATCCGCACCAAGTCAGGCAGTTTTGGAATTGAACCTTTTTCCAAGAAATGGGCGCACTAATTGTTGCAAAGAATATGACAACTAGCGCCAGTTGCTGATGCGCATCTGGGCGGCGCAGCGCGGCCAAGAGGTCATCCACAAACAACCAAGCTCTATGCGGGTGTGCTGACAGGATGCCGTGCAGCAGCCTCAGCAAGAAAGCTCCTGCGCGTTGCCACCAGTATGCGGAGAACCGTGCTCCGAAGTGGCACACCCGGTAATGGTACAAAGTGTCTGCGAAGCGAAACAGGAGCAAGCCATGTTCGCTAGGATGTGCCTGAATTTGCTTGTGTGCGGCTTTAAGATCAAAACTTGCGCCTATGAAAGAAGCACGCGTGTCTTCTGGCATGAAAGCGAGGCGCACGTCGGATGACATTGGCAGGCTGACGCGTTCTGGGATATTGCACTTGGGGTTCACCCCGCACACTGCGCTGTCCAGGACCAGGCGTGGTTCCTTCCCTTCTGCATGCACCACATTGAGTTTGCCCACTGCAATTCCTTTATTCCAGCGCCGCCTAGCCTGTTCTATGGACATCTCTGCGCGGACGACCCACCCATTGGAGATTTCTTTGTCCAAAAGGGCAGACACTGTGTTGGGCTCTGCTTCGGCGGCTTTCCTGTTGCCCATGCATTCTGTGAGCTCGTGAGGCAGGTCGGCTTGCTCTTTGAGCGGCCATTGCATGCTACGGGGCAGTTCGGATAGGGCTGTGGAGTTTGATGTCCGGGTCATCCGATGCGGAGGCCAGTGCGTGCAGCAGTGACAGCCGGTACGGCTGGCCGTTGTCGGGAGCCAGGCTGGTTGGGGCGGGCAGGTTTACTGCCGCGAAAACCATGAGCGCTGCCTCTTCGGACTCCTGGGCCGACAAGGGTGGCTCAGATGTGTCCGAGCTGACGTGGGCGAGAATTTTGGGAATCAAACTTTGTGTTGTTGCCCGCCGCAGCCAAGCGTGCGCTACCGTTCCCAGCGGGTGACTGGGCTGGGGTACTGAATGGTCTGCGGTGGAATGCATGCCGGCTCCATCACAGATTTTGAGTCTGTTGGGAAGCAGGCTACGGATGCAGGGTCTTTGAAGCTCGTGTACCAGCGGGTCGCGTCGAACTTTGAACGCACAATGCGTGACGAGGCTTGCGGCCAGAGTCGCGGGATATTCTGCGGTCAATGCGCTGAGGAATTGGCCCGAGGTGCTGCGCGCGCCTGCGACGCTAGCGTGCTTTTTTTGGTGATTGCAACGCGCTGCTACATGCTGGATGCATGGGTTGTTTGAAGCGAAACACCAAGATTTTGCAAAAGACATGCCGTGCTGGCATGCATCCACCCATGCCAAGTGTCCGTGGAAGGCTTTGAGGCACTGAAAGTTTTCCGGCTCGAGCCATGCCATGCTCGAGGGCGGTTGCTCAAAGACTGCCACGCCTCCTTGTGCGGCAACTGCTCTGAAGAGTTCTCTGCTCCTGCTGTGGGTTTCCCTGCTTTGTGCAACGCGCGATGCTTCTTCGGGAGACAAGCCAGGCACGCCGCGCATGCAGGTTGGAGTGCGTAAGGCCTTCGGTCCTCCGGGGCGGAGTTTCAGTCTACTGTACTCCTTGCACGGCGGAGCTAGTGTAATCAGGCTGACGATGCCTGACCAAGAGATGCGCATAAGCAGTTCAAAGCACGCATCGTCGAGTATGTCGTGCTCTGAATTGGCCTCTAGGGTCAAAAGCCTCGAAACGCGAGAGGCCTTGCTTGTCGGCAGCTGCTGAAATGGGTGCATGGATTCCTGCGAAAACATCCAAGAGGAATCCTCCTTTGGTGTGGGGCAGTATGCGCTTCTCAGCTGCGCGTGCAATGTTGGGTGGGCCATCGGAGTTGCCTGTCCTATCCCTGGCTGCAGGACGGTGCGTTGGTGCAGACAGTGAGGGCTGGAGCGCCTCGTTCGCGGGCGATAAAGCATGCGTTGCAGGCGGGCTTGCGGGGCAGTGCCAAGTGCTACCGGCTGTGGGATTGCACTGTCCGGAGGAGCGGCCGGAGCGGCCTCCGGACTGTCTCAGGTGCGGTTGGAAGGATGTTGCGAAGCCCCGTGCGCTTGCT